TACCAGTTGCCTGTGATTGGTGGTGAGGGAGCACAGAACAGTACTTTTGGCACCAGAGAGGGGCAGCCGGCCAGAGACCACAGCATCCAAGGAGGGAAAATACCCGGGGACTCTCCTGTCTGTGCCAGCCTGCAACAAACTGCTGTGAAGGGGTGCACAACAATGGGCACAAATGGCCAGAGAAACACCAATGAATCTGAGGATTGCTGACAGAATGCCAAGGCGGCTCACCTGAAGAAGGATTGAAGCCCTGAGCTGAAGTAGGTACTGGAGGAAACAGGTGCTGTATGGCATGGAAGCCCCAGCCTTCTGTGAGCAAGGCAGTAGAGCCAGCTGGGCATGAATTCAGTTCTTAAGTTGATTTTCTGATTGGGATGGCTAAATTACTTGATAGAGGGGGATAAAACCCAAACGAATGTTTGGATTTAAGTTGATTTTCTGGTTGGGACCACTAATGAATTGATAGAAGCGGACAAACCCTGAATGAAGGAAAGGACTTCTGCTGATGCACCTTCTGAGAGAGTTAAGGAATTAAGGGAATTGATTTAAGCTGATTTACTTCTGAAGGCTGTTAGTCAATTAATAGAAGGGGATGAACCCTGAACGAGTGGCAGGCTGAATAGGATTGAGCCAATCATAGACTTCTACTGAATTGGTTACAAGGGCCTAACCAGGGTCCCGCTGGCATAGGAAAGACTGCCATACTTGTGACAAGGGGTCATGGCCCAAAAGAAGAAATCAGATAACATCTAGGGTGTGGTACAGGTAGGGCTTAAAGGGAAGCAAAGCCCCATGAAGAAATCCTTCTGAGGGACAGGCCTAGACCTATCAGCCAGCATAACCAGCTCCCAACTTTAAAGAAGATCAAAGATGTGGCAGGTGAGAAAGATAACACCGGAGAGTGGTTGTGATAGAGTCGATCCCCATTCTGACGTCACCCTCCAGTAAAACATCGGGCCGGAGCAAGCCTAGACCATACAGCCCCTGCCCCCAACATATGTCTATACCATGCCTATACCTTTCAAATAGATCTCAAGAACCCATACCAGAGGAAGTGCAAAGCAACTTTAGAAGCTGCCAGGCATCTCTTGCATTAAGCCTCTACTCATGGCCAAATAAGCAATGACCTGAAGGGCTAAGCCAGTGCTTCTGCTACTTGAAGAACATTATAGAAGTTCCAGAATTAAAGTGGCCTGTGTAATCTTAATTCTGTACATGCATTGTGATCTGATCTTTATGTGGTCCGGTTTTCCCCACAGGTTCCCTGCTCCATTCAGTGAGCAAGATAAACTGAGTTCAGCATAGCTGTGTAGTGAACCTAACCATGTTTTATACAGGGGCCCTGGTTCAGAGTCGGAAGATATGTGGTGAATGAGGGATATGCAGGGATGGAGAAGATGGTCAGATGGTTACGCCAGTTGTATGTAAATTGGAATATCAACATTCTATACTTGGCTTCGCCAAAAACTTCCCATATGGTGCTGGGCAAGTTTTTACAACCAGAAACTTACATGGGTTCTTCATTTCCTGGATGCCTGCTGGACACTGTATCAAAACATTTAAAAGTCCGTAAGGGAATTAATAACATATATTCAGTGCAAGGTTGGAGTGGCATGCATCAACGAAAGCAGGGAATCATGTATTGAGTGATGAGTTTAAAAGAAACATCAATCAGCTCCCTCATTCACTGAGAGCTACCAGTCCTATGCACTGAATGGTCAGGGTCCCTCTGGAAAATAGCATGTGCTTGCTGCTTATAGGCAAAGGTTACCCAGGCAACCAGCTTCATTTAATTTCTGGGCATTTGACTTGGCAACATTTAATCATGTTCTTCTGATAAAGTTCTGATAGAGAGTAATATTTACATTTATGAGCAGCTTTAATTGTGCACAAAGTACTCTGACAGATAGTGCATTGTACTCAGAATAGGAAACCACTGTGAGGCAGGGATGTTCTTTTCATCTAGTATGTGTAGTACCTAACACATTAAGGCCTTAAACCCTGGCCGGGGCTTCTAAGCTCTACTGCCCCAGGGTTAGGAGCACTGCAGGACATTTGCCCTTCCCAGCTTCCTCTCTTTTATTGCAGATCTATCTGTGCTGTGGCTGCTATCACTTGATCTACGTGACATCTCTCCATTCATTCTGCTGGGGCAATCACATACTAGCCCTAATGAGTGGCTGGGGAAAGACCTATTCTATAAGAATAAGGTAAACTTGTTGCTTCCACTCCTGTAATGTTGTTTAATTGGTCAATAATTTAACTGCAATTTTATTTGGGGGGTAAAAAAAAGAGAAATATTAATAGTAGAGGTACACTGATACATTGGTCCCATATCAGATCAGCATCAATATAAGGAAAATTGACTGTATTGGCAATTGGCTTTTTTTGGCGGATATGGCCGATTATGTGGCCAATAAATGCCACGTGCATGCGTGCAACTGCAGCACAGCACGCAGGCAGCCAGGAGCACAGCCCAGCAGCATAGAGAGCAGCTGGGCCCAGCTGGTAAGTCTGTTGTGAGGGAGGAGGAAGGGGGAGGGAAGAGGTGGGGGGCAGATTGAGGCCTCTGTGGTGAGGGAGGGAGTGGGACGGGGGTGGGGGCATGGGCAGGCATTGCACAGCCATGGCGGGATGAGGGACAGAGCCATGAGTGGCTTATCTGGGGAGGTGCAGGGGGCTGCCAGTTTCATCACCAGCACTTCCTGGCTTGGCGACTGGCTGCTGGGGGACCCCCCTTGCCCCCCCACTCAGCAATCAGCCGCCGACAGGGAGTGGGACGCAAATGTAAGTATTGGTCCCCGGGCACCGGAGACCCACGCTATGCCACTGCGGCCAAACAACGTTATAACTGAACATTGTGCGACATTAAATGAGTATGTTCTCTAATAGATCAGCTACATAATAATGAAACAATGTTAACCTGGACATCGTTAAGTGAAGAATACCTCTATATGCCTTCACATCACCAATATAGCATATTCAAAATGTTTTAGCCTATAGAATGGATGTGTTTTAATGTATAAGGTAGATTGTATGTCTTAATAAAATATACAAAGGATTTGTTAAACATACATAAACTTTTTTTTTAAATAACTCTTGAAAAGATGTATAATGTACTGATTAAATGCCTAAAATACTAGGGGAAAATCATTTAAAACTTGCATGTGCTTTTATGTATTCCAGAAACTTGTTATAAATGCACATTCATTTTATCTTATAATTGTGCCCTGGAGAGTTTTGTGATGATATGCATGCAATTTTTTGGCATAATAAAGCACGCGGTGCATAATTTACGGAACAATACATAACATTGAATATTTACAACTTCTGAGCTGTCATTGGCCAGGAAACCTCATTTTTCTCTGATTACTGATGCTAATTTATGTTTCCAGTGGATGTACACCTATATGGCTCCCATTTATAAATTCTTATATATGAAATTGCCAAGCAACCTATCTGGATTCTATGTATAAGGAAATACTGCAATATCTCAAATACCAAAGTGTGTGCTAACTATTAATAAATGTTGGGAGGTGGGGGTTGTAATCAGCACCTCTAATAATGTGGTGCCCCAGGGGACCTAGCCTCCACCTTCCTCCTCTCTTTTTCCTCTCTCCCTTTTCCTCTCTTTCTCTTTTCTCCCTCCCTTTTTCTTTCCCACTTCCTTTCTCTCTTCCCTCCCCCCCACCCTGCGGTCATGTGCATGTGAAAAGGACAAACAAGTAAACCTCTAACAATGTAAATTCATCTTAATATGGCTCCATTTAAAATTAAATAATGAAGCCTATATACTATTTATGGAGTGATTGAAGGGAAATGTGAAATGTAGAATTGTATGAATCTATTCTAGGAAAAAAGCTTTGAGGTGTATGTGTGCCTCACTTCATTTGCATTTGCATTCTTATTGTTTCAGACCAACATGGCTACCAAATAGATGCCTTAATTCACAAACTTTAAAATGTAAATACATAGTGGGAAATGATGCATGCTCATGTCACTAGTGACAGACATGCAAGAGTGCTCCTTTCCATCCTTACTTGCAAGAGTGATCCTTGACGACTTCAGTTAGGCTCCTTTTTAAAAGGAGGATTACTTTTGAACGGTGATATATGTACACGAGCACCAAGTTAATGGCAACTTTCAATTAAGAAGCTCAGTGAGGATGTGTCTCTTGGGGCAGGGTGGCAAGCATGAAATGGTGTGAGAGTTTGCCTTCTCTTTTGATCTTTTATGGTCATCTGTGCCTCTTCTCTCAGTTTTATTCTTACACATTCCGGGTGAGATGCCTGGGTTTGTCTTGCAGGGTGGTGAGTAGCGGGGACAGGAGTGTAAGAGCTTGTCCAATAAGCCATGCAGGGGAGGTACGTGGAGCTGTTTGGTTGAGGAAGGTCGCTGTGTATGTAGAGGCAAGGAGAGAGGGGTGGAGGTGGAGGTCCAGCTGCTCGCTGCCCTCCTGTCTGCTGCCGCCGCGGGTCCGGGTCACGCGGGATCGGGGCGGGCTGATTTGCCCCGGGCCCCGCACCCTGCCCGGGTCAGCTCTGGAGGGGGGGTGTCACCCAGCGACTCTCAGGCAGGGTGCCACAGGGACCCTAGTGGCCGGAGAGGCGCTGGCAGGGAGCCCGGAGCTGTCGGGAGGCGGCTTCTAAGAGCGGCCCGGTGCCAAGGGGCGTCCCGCGGCGGGGGGCGAGAGCCGGAGCCTGAGCCGGAGCCGGAGCCGGC